TTAAAAGGAAGACACAAGAAGTCATTTTTCCACTCTACCCAGCACTGATAAGGCCTCAACTGGAGTACTTTGTCCAGTTCTGGGTCCTGTACTTTGAGAAAGATGTGGACAAATTGGAAAAGTCCAGTAAATAGCAACAAAACTGACTAAAAACAATCTAGAAAACATAGCCTTCAAGAACAGATTTTAAAAACTGGGTTTACTGAGTCTGAAGAAGAGACGATTATGAGGGGACGTGATAACAGTTTTTAAGTACTTACAATAGTATTATAAAGAGGAAGGCAACCTTATTTCAGGACTTTCCTAATTTCAGAGTCCTTGACTTTGTAATCTTAATGTTCTTTTTGCAGTTTTTGGGTGTAGTTATAATGATGTTAATGAAAACTTTGATGAATATATGTATGACTATGAAGGTGTCTGAAGGTTTAAAAACCCTGCACAAGGAGATATTGCTTTAGACTTGGCTGGCTTACAATTATTTTGCTTCTAACTTAACACTACTGCAACATTAAATCTGTTTTTTCGTTAATCTCCTAGGTTAGTCACAAAGGAATTTACGGAAACATGTATCAACAGGATCAGTTGCTGCATTTTGATGCCATTTGCCCAGTGATTGCAGAGGTGTTGTGTGGTTCGTCAGGCCTGCCAACAGGGGGGAGCAAAGGGGGAAATTGCTATGAGGCCCTTTGATTCACTGCCACAGCATGTGTTTCACAAGATGCTGAGGGCGTGGATCCTGGTGTTATGGTACGGTTGGTGCTGAGGGCTGGTTGGCTTCAGAGGCCCCACCTCTTCCAGGGGTGCTGAGCTCTCCCTTCTCCCCTCTCCCCTGTCATCCCCCCCTCCCCGACACACACATTCCCCTTCCCCAAGACCTGCTGTGGCTACTGACTATATCTGACTGCAAAGTAAAAAGGAGTCTGACATCTTTAAAGTCAACTCCCACTGTTTTTGTCACAGGGAATGCACCTGTTGTTTTGTGGTGGTTCACAACCTGTGGTGCCAGCGGTTCCCAAGGACCAACTCAAGCACAGTGTGACAGCGCGTATTACAACACCAACATCTCTGTGACTGTAGAGAAAGAGGGACCACTCCGCGGGGTGCAAGCGTGGAGAGTGCCAGCCACAAACCGATACTTGTGAGTATCAGTGTATGCTGGGGACAGGAGGGAGAGGCAGTCACTCATTACTTACCCTTGCACTTGTATGCCCGTTAGTGCAGCACTATCTGTTGGGAGTGGCTGAGTAAATGGGAACTCAGAGCCATCAAAAGTCATGGGGGAGAATTAGTGTTCGGGAAGAATTTAAGTGTGGCGTTATCAACTGGAGTGATGTAGCACTAAGAGCAAGAAACTCAGGACTGGAGTTGCCTCAGGGTAGTGGGACTGTAAAGGTGCTGTCTTTGGGGAGCTCACTTTGGGGCTGTGATGGTGATACAGAACTGGCTGTAGGGAGCTCAGGAATGGAGTCACTTTGGGCTGTGAGAGGCAGGAGCATTGGCATGAGAAGCTCACAGCTCAAGTTGTTTTGGGGCTGTCGGTGTAGGGCTTTTCTCTCTCTCTCTAACTACTTATTTTTCAGGATATCTGCATATGGAGCAGCCGGCGGGAAAGGAGCCAAGAACCACAAAAAGAGGGCACATGGGGTCTTCATCTCAGCCACTTTCCAGCTGGAGAAAGATGAGCTCCTCTACATCTTGGTGGGGCAGCAGGGGGAGGATGCCTGCCCAGGGGTGAGGGACACACACACATGCATACACACACACACATCACTGGGCACAATCACATTAGAGATAAGATGCAAAATTTCTCAGGGTACATCTACACAGCAGGGCCAAAGTTGAATTAAGCTACGCAAGTTCACCTACGTCAATTGTGCAGCTGAAGTCGAAATAGCTTAATTTGGCTTTTGGCACTGTCTACACAGCAGGAAGTCAAAGGAAGAACACTCTTCCTTCAACTGCCCTTAGACCTCATGAAATGAGGGTTACAGGAGTCAGAGTAAGAAGTCCTCCAGCTCAACATTATTTCAAAATAATGGCTTGCTGTGTAGACGCGCATTTTGTAGTTTGAAATAACGTCAGTTATTCCAAAATTACACTACTGTGTAGATGTACCGTCAGTGAGTCGGTTTAGAGTTTGACTATACTGGTGATGAGGGGCAGGGATCCCAGATTAAAATCCAGAGATGAGATTGGGAGGAATGAAAGAGCTGAACTAAAAGAATCTTCTGAAAACAAATAGAAGGAAATCTGAAATGAAAAGCCTTCTCTAAAACCATACATACAGTATATGGGGGCTAATTTGGCTATGACAAATCAGGAAAGAGATCTTGGAGTTATCGTGGATAGTTCTCTGAAAACTTCCACACAGTGTGCAGCGGCGGTCAAAAAGGCAAATAGGATTCTAGGAATTATTAAGAAAGGGACAGAAAATAAGACAGAATATCTTACTGCCCCTGTATAAAACTATGGTACGTCCACATCTTGAATACTGTGTACAGATGTGGTCTCCTCATCTCAAAAAAGATATTTTGGCCTTGGAAAGGGTTCAGAAAAGGGCAACTAAAATGATGAGAGGTTTGGAACGGGTCCCATATGAAGAGAGGTTAAAACGACTGGGACTTTTCAGTTTAGAAAAGAGGAGACTGAGGGGGGATATGATAGAGGTATATAAAATCATGAGTGGTGTGGAAAGGGCGAATAAAGAAAAGTTATTTATTAATTCCCATAATAGAAGAACTAGAGGACACCAAATGAAGTTAATGGGTAGCAGGTTTAAAACTAATAAAAGAAAGTCCTTCTTCACACAGCGTGTAGTCAACCTATGGAACTCCTTGCCAGAGGAGGCTGTGAAGGCTAGGACTATAACAGAATTTAAAGAGAAGCTAGATAATTTCATGGAGGTTAGGTCCATAAAAGGCTATTAGCCAAGGGATAGAAATGGTGTCCCTGGCCTCTGTTTGTCAGAGGCTGGAGAAGGATGGCAGAAGACAAATCACTTGATCATTGTCTTCGGTCCACCCTCTTTGGGGCACCTGTTGCTGGCCACTGTCGGCAGATAGGATACTGGGCTAGATGGACCTTGGTCTGACCCAGTACAGCCATTCCTATGTTCTTACCACAGACTTAAAACCTAGGGCAACTCTGCTCTGGTGTTCAAAATAAAAAGCTGCTCCTTTCACTTGCTTTAAAAGACAGTCACAGCCAGCTATTAGATCTGAGCTGCATGTTCCTGATCACACAGCATTTCTCCACAGAAGGAATTTTCTGAGGCAGGCCAGGATTTGAGATCATTACCTGTATTAATGGCAGTGATTCAAGGCCCCTGGTGAGACCCCATTGTGCATATATAATCAGAAGCAGTCCCAGAAGTCCTATGGCTGGATCCAAAGCTTGTAGCATGGCCTCTACAAACACAAAGAAACCCAGGGAAGAACAAATGCCAAAGATGTGCATGAAGCTCAGTCTCCTTTTCCCCCCTCTCCCCAAATCCAAGCTGAAAAACAAATTTTCAGTATTTTCCTTGTGTAATCGAGTGCTTTTGCGTAGGGAACGGGAACTCGGATGCCTGGGTTCTATTCTCAGCCTTGCCACTGACTCTTTGTTCAACCTTGTGCAAATCACCTCATTTCTCTGTTCTTGCATTTCCTCATCAGAACAGTGAGAACCAATAACACAGATCTATTGTGTAGGAGTATTCTGAGAATTAGTAGTTAGAAAGCATTTTAAGATCCTGGAATATAAGGAGCTCTAGAGGTGCAAGGTATTAGCATTTGTTATTAATAAGGAAGATAATTTGGATTCTCTGCCTTTCTCTGGTTCTGCTGCAAGCCTTTCTTATGTTACTTGTACATGTGACATGTTCCCGGCTCAGGAGACACTTGTGAGGAGCCAAGGGACAGGTCACTTACTAAGCTAGTGGTCCCTCCACAAGGAGAACACATACTACACATACAGATCTCTGCATGAAGACTAGACTGTGCTGATCTCTATCTGCCTCTGTTATTGCCTTTCAGGGGAATGCTGAGACCCAGAAGATATGTCTGGGGGAGTCATCTCTCATTGAAGAAGATTACAAACTCAAAAAGGATCTGAAGGACTGGGCTGGAGGAGGGGGTGGGGGCGGAGGAGCCACCTACATCTTTAGGGTAAGTCTTCCATCTTGCCAATTTCCTGAACGGTGCCATCAGAGAGCTAGTGTTCACTAGTGATCATGAGCTATGATGCTATCAGCTGTTTCAGGAAGTTGTAGAAAGGGAGAGAATGTTTTAGAAAAATGCAGATTCCTCATATCCTCAGTCCTCCTTTCAGTCATCTATTAGCTACTGTCTCTTCAGCATTGCCAGCCCAGGCACTAAGGTACCAGGACTGGGAAGCAAACTGTGGTTTGCTGCTTACCGCTGGTGTTGGTCCAGCCTCAACAACTGGTGTTTAATTGGACCTGCTTTGAAGATTTTGCTTCCACCAGGTAGACTGCCCTGAATAATGGTGTCATAATGGAGTATTGCTCTGGGCTGTGGCCACTAGTGTACGAGCTGCTCTTATGCTTTTTGATGCTATGAATGAGGTGGGTTCTCTGGTATCTGATGGGTTTGAGCCAGCTGTGCCTTTTGACTGTCCTGTGTAATGAAATGTGTTTGTCCTACAGCAGCAGCAAGATGGGACTCTTGAACCGTTGCTCATTGCAGCAGGTGGCGGGGGAAAGGCATACCTGAGGGATCAGGACAGCCCCCTGGATGATGCACCCTTAGAACAGTTTGAGAACAACACAGCAGTGCCTGGAGTCAATGGCAGAACTGGGGCAGCAGGTGAGGCCTGATGGCAAAACAAAGTCTGGATTTGATGGCTGAACACACAGAATTGGCCCACAGATGTGAAACAACACAAATCTTTTTGGTGTATGTAAACTTTTCTGTGGGAGTAACTCCCTGAGATGTGAATGACTCTTCAAGTGCTTGCATATGTCCATTACACAGTAGAGATGTGCATGTCCTGTGTACTGCTGCCAGACAGTTTTCCTAACTCCTTGTGCTCCCAACAAAGGCATAAAAAGCAGAACCACCTTTCCCTCAGGTCCTTCTTATAATCATGGTTGTGGTCAGAGTGTCTTACTCATTGACTTTAAGGCCAGATGTGATCATCTAGTCTGAACCCCTGCACATCACAGGCCACAGAACCTCACCCACCCATTCCATCAATCAGCCCATAAATTCTGGCTAAGTTACTGAAGTTCTCTAATCTTGACAAGTTACAGAGAATCCATCATTTACTCTAAAGCAGAACATGTTGTCCACACCCAGCAGCCAGACATCTGGGAATTAATTCTCTGTAGTAACTCAGCACCCTCTCTAGCAGTGTTTCTTAAACTTTTTGAGACCATGGAACACCAAACAATAATAATTTTTTTATGCGGAACACCTATGAAAATGTTCTTCAAAAAAAAAAAATAGTTGTCAGACAAAAAATACACCACCAAAGAAGTAACAAAAACAAAGAAGAGGTTGCGGCACACCTGAGAGTAGTTCACGGAACACCACTGTTCCGCGGAACATAGTTTAAGAAACACTGCTCTCTAGTGTCCAATCTCTGGCCATTGGAGAAATTGGCTAGTATCAGATGTGGATGGTTCGTATGCCTTTGTAGATAAGTTTATGAGCAGGATGATATGATGCATTTATCACGCTCAGTCTCGAAACAAGTCTTTGTTCCTTGTGAATAAACTATTTGCTGCTTGGCCATTCAGCTAGTGATACTCCTTTTTGTCATTTGATGTTTGATTTTTCCTTTTGTTTTTCCATTTTTTTAGTTTGTTTTAATTTTTAATTCAATTTTTTTTTCAATTGAGTAGGCCTTCAGGCACAGCTCACTACCTGGGAATCTGTGCCAATGTCCCTGGATTTCCAACTTACTTGGGGTGTTGGAAGTCCATGTCTGTCAACCACAGTAATTTGTACTATCTCAAGTGTTCAGGCGAGGTCCATTAAAAACAGATGCTCCATCTGTTGTACCTTGAAGACTAGGACAGAAAACCAGAGGAAGGACTGCCTTCATTACATCCTGATGGAGGCAGCACTTAGACTTGGTGTGAGAATCATGTGAATCATCCAAGGGAAACTCTTCCATGACTCCTTCCTGGAAAGCTCCCCCAGGTTTGCCTTCAGATAAAAATAATCAGAGGACCCCACCACTAAGCACTCTAGGTCTCAGAAGCCCAAGAACTGTTAACGTCAGGTTCCTTGAAGATCAGGCACCAGTCAGCCTGGTATTAATGGTACAGTTCGCCACTCTCTGATAGCAGCTCATAGAGGAGAGACTTGAGCTGTTGATTCCCATTCCCTCCCAGAGACCATCAAACCTAGCTCTTTCTTCAGCTAAGATGAGTGAGACTTCTCTGATCACAGCACGACAACCATCCATGTCAATACTGATGATGCCCTAAGCTGATGCTGGGGCACCAGAACAGGGAATGGACACTACCACCGTGTGTAGTTAGCAAGTGCTTTTCACAGTTAGATTAGCAACAGATAATATAGACCCTGAACTGGTTTTCATTGTACAAGTTGCACTGATGGACAATCCCTAGGTGACGGGGTTAACTTGAATGAAGGTACATCTCAGACAATTCATAAGAATATTTTCTTTCCCTTCACACACATTCCCCCATGAGCCTCTGCCCATGCCCTTCTCACCTGATTTTTCTCTCTCTCTTTTTTTTCTTCAGGTGGAGGTGGTGGCTGGACAGACACTACCCTGTTTCCTCAGGCTGGGAGGTCCCTTCAGGAAGGTGGACAAGGGGGCCAGGCCTGTCCCCAGTCACTAGCTAAACTCCAGTGGGCTACCTCAGGTGGTTTTGGTGGAGGAGGAGGAGCTTGTACATCTGGCGGTGGAGGTGGAGGCTATCGAGGTAGGTCTGTTTGTCCTATCATTTGGGGGAATGGAGCCTACAGAGACTGGGAACATTGCCCTGCATCTGCAAGGATATTTAACCATCCTTTAGCCTGCCCTTAACCTGTTTACAGGAAATAGTCCATATAACGATGATTCATTCTCTTAAAAACTAGCCTATTTGCACCAACTTGTACCAAGACAGATACCTTTGGTTTGAAGGGCTCTTCCAATCCTGATGGGTCTGGGATAAATGATTTCATTGTGTTCTTTGAAGGCAAGAGATACACACATAATCTCACCAGAAAGCCCAGTGGAACTCCATACTTCACGAGATCGAGGCAAAAGGGTGGGGGGGCCTTTGATATCATTCAGCACATGCACATGATATGGTCTTCTTACACACATAATCTCACCAGAAAGCCCAGTGGAACTCCATACTTCATGAGATCGAGGCAAAAGGGTGGGGGGGTCTTTGATGTCATTCAGCACGTGCACATGATATGGTCTTCCTTTTTTCCAGGTGGGCATGTAGCAGATGTTGATGATATCACAGCTGATGGGCAGGATGGTGTTTCTTTTGTGAATCCAGTAGGGGAGATCTTCCTGCATCCCCTGGCAGGTAAAACACACTTTCTTTATTCTCCCACTATCATCTCTACCCCCCCCCCTTTATCTTCTGTCTCTCCTCTCCTCCTTCCTTCCACTCTTCTCTATAACCTGTATTCAGGCATATAATCTCTGATGCACATCCTTAAGTAATGAAAATTGTCACAGTTCCATTGCCTTCAATGACAGTTTACATAGCTGAGGATTTTTTCCCTTTATCGCTCTCCTAGGCTGAGAGGTAGCACGAATTATCAGGTTCAGTCATATGAATTTAGTCCTGGCCTTCCACATTCCTCTTCACCAGAGCACCTTGTGGTTAATCCAAAGGGGTCATGCTCTTGGGAGGTGAATTTCAGTGCTAGTACTCATTCACTTCTCCTGGACCGCCTCAGATGGGGGATGTGGGTGCAGTGTTATGTTGGGATGTGGCATTACAGCCTCTTGCATTTGCTTTGATCTGTACAAACATGGGAGAAAATCAGTTAAACCCTTCTTCTGTTCCATCTGGTGTCTTCTCATTCAGCCATGGAGAGTCATGGTGAGGCAGAGATTCAGGTCTACCTGAACTGCAGCCACTGCCACTCGGGAAACTGCAAGAGGGACCTTGACACCAATCTGCCGATCTGTATTTGTGAGATGGGAGCCGTGCTGGCCATCGACAATGTCACCTGCATAGGTAATGGGGGAGCTGTGTACCAGTGTTCCCTGTAAGCTGTGTGTTTGTGCAGCCACTCGAAAGAGATTCACATACTGCTGAGCTGATTACCAGAATGCCCACAACTGGGTTTTGTTTCTACTGGGGGTAAACATTTGTACGTGCCTCAGTGCACATAAAAATGTATTCAGCACATGGATGGAAAAGACTAGAGGGAATATTGCTGTATACTCACTGAATTTCTTCTGTCTTCTTTGCATCTCCCCTTCTATCTTTCTCTTGCTAAAGATATGTGACTCATAAATAATGATATCTCTCCTCTCTATGGCCTGTCATCAGAGATCTTTCAAACATTAAACAAGTTAATCTTCCCAGCATCTCTGGGCGTTGGGTATTATCTCCATTTTACAAGCAGGCAAATGGAGAGAGAGGGACAGAGTTTTCAAAGGTACTTGGGTGCCTACAGACACAGATAGACACTTAGTGAGATTTTCAAAAACACCAAAGCAAGTTAGGAGACTAAATTCCATTCATATCCATGAGAGTTAGGTGTCCAACCTGCTTAGTTGCTGAGCACTTTTGAAAACCTCACCAGGTACCTATCTGCATCTTCAGGTGCCTAAATATCTTTAAAAGTCTGGCCCAGAGAGGCTAAGAAGAGCTCAGCAATATGGCCATTTGCAGCACCAAGGAATACAACCCTCAAAAGGGATCAAACTCCCCAAATAAATCCATCTTACTTGGTGTAAAACTTTTACACAGAGAAAGCTCATGGGGTCATCCCTCTTTTTCAATTAAAGAGTGATGCACAGAGGTCCCTCTTGCCCCCATAACATAATTTAATTGGTTAAACAGTGATTTATGAGTATTTATAACTCCCAGGGCCCCAGTGGAATTGGCTGTAACATGCACATAAAGGTCCTTCGCCACCATTGAAATGTTATGTTTTCAAAAGGGGAAACCATGGTTCTAGAATGGAGCTGTGGTTGTCTGCTGGTTAATATGTCTGTGTCTTTGTTTTTTCCAGTTCCTCGCAGTCTCATTCCAGAGGGACACCTTCCTCTCCCCCTCCTCACCGTGGTCACAGTGATTGGAGTGCTTGGAATGGCCTTGGCTTGTGGCAGCCTGTTCATTGGTATGCAATGCCTTTGGTTTGTATTGGACAGCTTTTACCAGCCTCTTGGTTGGCCCCACTGGAAGAAAGGAGCCCACCTTAAAGCTATGTTCTGCTAACCATGGTATTGATGGGGAATTAAGAGGGACTTCAACCAGGAGACAGCCAGCTACCAGCCAATAATACTGCTGCCACTAATAAGCTTGACTAGTAAGTCCAGGCATGGGGAGCCAGCAAAAAACATCACCCTTTGCCTGGCCCGGAGTAAGAACTTGGCATAATAGTAGCCTCCATGGGGAAAGACTGCTTTGGCCTTGCTCCTTCTGAGAAGAAAGCCACTTAGAAAGGTCATGGGATCATAAGCAGACCCTCCTTTAGTAGGCACTAATCCACAGACTGCTGTCTTGGCCACTTGCTTTGTTGTCTTGGTTGGGTGCCAGCAAGATCCTTTGCTCATTAGTTCAGAAGGGGCTGCTCCATCTGAGGTCCAGAACTACAGATGGCCAATACTCCATGCTCGGGTATCACATTCAAGAGGGAGAAGTTCCTGCCAAGAGAGAGAAGGGGGATCATACTGTGGAATTAAGAATATCACTTGCATTAATAACTGCTGACTTGGTTTCCTGTTGTTGTTTGTTCTGTGCTGCTGGCACTGTCTCCTTTGCTCTCCCCACATGGTGACATTTCACCCTCTGTTCTTTTATGGTGTGCTCCCACAGTTTATCACCGTAAGAAGCAGCAGTTGGAGGGAGTCAGAGCACGACTGCAGAGCCCAGAATATAAACTGAGCAAAATCCGCACCTCCACCATCATGACAGATTACAACCCTAACTACTGCTTTGCAGGGAAGGCTGCCACACTAAATGAGCTGAAGGAGATACCCCGGAAAAACATCTCCTTGCTTCGGTAAGGCTTGCTGCTGGACCTGGACCTCGATCCAGGACAGGAATTGTAGCTCAAGGTGAAGGGAGCAGGGTCACATATTTATCTTGTCTGAATGTACAAAATGTGCATGGAGCATGGAGACCAAGAGACAGAGAGCTAGCTGGCTGGCAGGCTAAACATGGACAGGTCACCATCCAGCATGGTACAGCCTAAATGTGACTATCATGACAGCTGCTTTTAACACCTATGCCTCACTTTTATATTCTACAAGGTGCTCTGTAAGAATTAGGCCCTAACTTAAGCACATGTTCAACTTTAAGCTCATCAGTCATCTGTTGCATTGACTGATTTAGGCTTCCTGCCAGAAGCAAGAGGATTCTCTGCTGTTCTGTCCTTATACTTCTGGGATGCCCTCAGTTACTAAGGCTCCCAACAAATCCCTACCAAGTCTATAGCAGTGTTTCCTTTTCTGCATCAGAACAGAAACTCACATCACAGGGAAAGCCACTTTGGGCAACTCTCACTAGTCCAATTCTGAGACAAATTGCTTTGCCCTGGATTCCAGCTACAAGAACAGGTCCAAAACTTGCTCCTGAACTTGACAACATCATGATCTGTACAGATGCAAAGCTCATGGACACAGTAATACCTGCTTTTTCTCTTTCCTTCAGGGCCCTAGGGCATGGTGCATTTGGTGAGGTTTACGAGGGGACTGTGGTAGGAATCACAGGGGATCCAAATCCCCTTCAAGTGGCTATCAAGGTCAGTACCTTCAGCTAATGGCCTCTCTCTCCTATATGGCAGTGGCTATTCATGAGAGCGATGTTACCAAATTAAGGTTCCAATTAGAAATGTATTGTTACAGTTATCATATAGTGCATGGCTAACAGTGTTGCACATGCTGCTAATGTCACATGAGAGTTATGACATTTACATTGCTTTGATGTTTTTAAACCCCATAGCAATAACAGCGAATTGAAAATAAATAGTTCTCATTTGGTGTATAGCGCTGTAGTGGCTACATCTGCAAGTCTAATGGTGGGTGGGAGCTAGGGATGTGGTCGACTAGTCGCTCTCCCACCCCCCTCCTCCCCTTTGCTGCTTCTATCAGAAAGGGGCAGCAAAGGGGAAGGGGTACTTCAAAGTGGCAGTGCCTCATAGAGCTCAGGTTCAGCTGGGGACTCCCACGCCAACCCCAGGCTCCATGCAGTGCTGCTGTTTTGAAATGTCTCATGGAGCCTGACAGCAGGCTCCCCACGGCATTTCAAAGCAGCAGCACTGCGTGGAGTCCAGGGTCAGCCCAGGTGCTGCTGCTTTGAAATGCTGCGGGGAGCATAGTCGCTCTCCCGCCCCTCTCCTCCCCTTTGCTGCTTCTATCAGAAAGGGGCAGCAAAGGGGAAGGGGTACTTCAAAGTGGCAGTGCCTCATAGAGCTCAGGTTCAGCTGGGGACTCCCACGCCAACCCCAGGCTCCATGCAGTGCTGCTGTTTTGAAATGTCTCATGGAGCCTGACAGCAGGCTCCCCACGGCATTTCAAAGCAGCAGCACTGCGTGGAGTCCAGGGTCAGCCCAGGTGCTGCTGCTTTGAAATGCTGCGGGGAGCACAGGACCAGCTGGGGACTGCTTGAGTCCCGCACTGGCCCCATGTTCCCGCAGCACTTTCACCTTTGAAGTGTAGCAACAGCCCTGGAACTGTTGCTGCACTTCAAAGGTGGAAGCACTCTTACCGACTAATTGAATAGTCGATGCAAATTGCATCGATAATTGGGCATTTCAAAGCAGCAGCACTGCGTGGAGTCCAGGGTCAGCCCAGGTGCTGCTGCTTTGAAATGCTGCGGGGAGCACAGGACCAGCTGGGGACTGCTTGAGTCCCGCACTGGCCCCATGTTCCCGCAGCACTTTCACCTTTGAAGTGTAGCAACAGCCCTGGAACTGTTGCTGCACTTCAAAGGTGGAAGCACTCTTACCGACTAATTGAATAGTCGATGCAAATTGCATCGATAATTGGATTAGCCAAATAATTGAAATTTTACATCCCTAGTGGGAACTGTTACATTAATTTCAGTGGAATAACTGGGCAATTCAGGCCAGGTCTACACTGGTGGAGAAAATCAATGCAAGATACAAACTCCAGCTATGTGAATTGTGTAACTGAAATGGACTTACATTACATCAATTTTTCTGGGATGGCCCCACAGCAGGAGGTTGACAGGAGAAATGCTCCCATTGACTTCCCTTACTCCTCACAACAGTGAGGAGTGCTGGTGGCCACAGGAGCACCCTCAGCGTTCAATTTAGTGGATCTTTACTCGATCTTATTAATTTCAGTGGAATAACTGGGCAATTCAGGCCAGGTCTACACTGGTGGAGAAAATCAATGCAAGATACAAACTCCAGCTATGTGAATTGTGTAACTGAAATGGACTTACATTACATCACACCTTTGAAGTGTAGCAACAGCCCTGGAACTGTTGCTGCACTTCAAAGGTGGAAGCACTCTTACCGACTAATTGAATAGTCGATGCAAATTGCATCGATAATTGGATTAGCCAAATAATTGAAATTTTACATCCCTAGTGGGAACTGTTACATTAATTTCAGTGGAATAACTGGGCAATTCAGGCCAGGTCTACACTGGTGGAGAAAATCAATGCAAGATACAAACTCCAGCTATGTGAATTGTGTAACTGAAATGGACTTACATTACATCAATTTTTCTGGGATGGCCCCACAGCAGGAGGTTGACAGGAGAAATGCTCCCATTGACTTCCCTTACTCCTCACAACAGTGAGGAGTGCTGGTGGCCACAGGAGCACCCTCAGCGTTCAATTTAGTGGATCTTTACTCGATCTTCTAAATTGGAGATTGATCCTCTGTGGTTCAGTGTGTCAATTGTCTGGTAAGTGGAGACAAGGCCCGAATCAAAAGCCTCTGCATGACAGAACCTGAACAGGAAAGTCTCTCCCAGCCTCTCCTGCCAAAGCCTATTGCTTCAGGGAGGGGGCCATATGAATCTGTCACCCAGACAAATAAAATATATCAGCAAAAATTAAAGCAAAGTGCCAAATCCTCTGCTAGTGTATACAGGTACAGCTCCATTGAAATCTGTGGGGCTGTGCTATTTTAGTTCAGCAGAGAGTTTGGCATATAAAGCTGAGTTTTTTCTCGTGGTGTTTGCTGAGAGCCTCTCAGTACAGTAATAGCCATGTAAGTCATCTTTAGGTTATGTCTACGCTTGGGGTAGGAGTGTGATTCCCTGCTCGTGAAGACATGCCTGTGCTAGCTTCCACTGAAAATAGAGTGCAGCTATGGCAGTATAAGCAGCTAGTCTCCTACGTAGGTGCCCCTCAGATTCCATAGGTGTGTACTCGGGGAAGTTAGACTGTCCCGGAGCTCTCACAGCTACTGCTGTGCTCTATTTTAGCATGCTAGTTTGATTAGAGCTATCAAGGGTATGTCTCTTTCAGCTGGGAATCACCCCTTCCCTCCACGTGAAGACATACACTTAGATAGTGTTCTAGCCAATACTGATACTTCAGGCTTTGTGACTGAGACTTGACACTCCTCCTTTTTTTAAAAAAAAAGGCTCCAGAGGCGATCCTGGCAATTACAGGTTTGTAAGCCTGACTTCAGTTGAAGCAGAATTATCAGACACAGAAATGAACACAGTATTTTGTGGGAAGAGTCAACATGAGTTTTGTAAAGGGAAGTCATGCCTCACTAATCTATTAGAATTCTTTGAGGAGGTCAAACAAATATGCAGAAAAACAGGATCTAGAAGATTATAGTGTACTTGGACTTTTCAGAAAGCCTTGGACAAGATCCTTTGCCCAAGGCTCTTAAGCAAAGTAGGCTGTTATGGACTAAGGTCCTCTTATGAATCAGTAACTGGTTGAAAGACAGGAAACAAAGGGTAGGAATGAATGGTCCGTTTTCACAATGGGGAGGAATAAATATTAGTGTCCCCCAGGAATCTATAGCTATAACAGGACTATAATATAAAGTAGTGTTCCCAGGAATCTATAACTATAAAAGGGTTAAAAAATTAGATGAGTTCATAGAGCATCAATGGCTGCTAGCCAGGATGTACAAGGATTCACCCCATGCTCTGGGTGTCCTTAGCCTCTGTTTGCCAGAAGCTGGGAGTGGACAACAAGGAATGGATCACTCATTGATTGTCCATTGTTAGTTCCTTCTGAAGCTCCTGGCATTGGCCACTGTAGGCTTGGTGGACTCTGATGTTCATCCCTTGATAAGTTCCTGTCCTAGATTCTGGTGCTCTGCCATTCAATCAGTAACAGGCACTCCAGTCTGTTGAGGAATTTGAAATGCCCCCCCAAAAACGCAGCTGAATGGAAGGCAGTGGGCATATGCTGGTACTCTGGCATATTGGCGCAGTTGCCTACAAAAGTTATGAGCCCCTAGCTGTTGACATTAAGTAGTGCTTGGTAGCATACATTGTAGTACTGTAAACTTATGTATTAAAGGACCACGATCAAATGTTATTATTTAGACACCTCTCCGGCCCAGTTTAGGCTTCGTTAACAATAATAAAAAAAGTTTTAAAATCCTAATATTTATCATTAGATTTTCATGACTCATTGTTTAAAGTAAATGAAAATCATTTGAGCTATTTATGTGTAAACTTCCCCTCATTAGTCTACTCAAGTTATGCGCTCAAATTAGCCTAGCTCCAGTGAGATATTACTGGTTGGGGACTGGAACCCAGGAACTTTTGCATGTAAAGCTGTGTCAGGGTTACCCTACTGGCAAGAGTGATCATACACCACAGAGTGATTTAACTAGCAGCTCAGAGTAATTGGCTTAGCAACATGATTGGATTGGAGGCTGATAATTTGTTGCAACTCAAGCTAATGCATCACAACTGCCTTATTGGCTCAAGCAGCAGCAATACTGGAGCTTCTAACTGCCCACAGCCAGGTGGGCCAGCTAATCTGATTCTAAAGCACCATTTATTTGAGGTTTTGTGTGGGACTGAGTTGAGTTGGAAGTAACACTGGAGTTACAACTTGAGCTAACTGTGCTGTAAATCCAGAGAATATGTTTGTGCTGTAACTGAAATACCCAAGGCAGGCTGGGCTTTGCTGAGTCAGGCTTATGGGACTTGGGCTGTGGGGCTGTTTAACTGCAGTGTAGATGCCCTGTCTTTGGCGGAAGTCCAGGCGCTAGATCCTTGGGAGGTGGGGAGGGTCCCAGGGTATGTCTACACTAGCCCCCTAGTTCAAACTAGGGAGGCTAACGAGGGCGACTGAAATTAAGAATGAAGTGCGGGATTTAAATATCCCGCGCTTCATTAGCATATTCCCGGGCGGTTGCCATTTTGGAAATTGACTAGCCCGGAAGAACTGCCCGCGTCTACACATGGCAGAGAAGGGCGATTCCGAAATAAATCCCTTACTTCAAATTACCAGTTAAACCTCATGGAATGCCTCTCCCATGGAATGAGGTTTAACTGGTAATTTGGAGCTCTGAGGGATCAACCTCTGCCCCTTCCACCTAAGGCTCCGCCCTTTCCAGAGGAGCGGCACTGCGCCCCCACACACTTTGTGCCTGTGTCCATGTATGTGGTTGTTGGCCCCGCTGTGCCTCATATCCTAGCCTGCAGTCAGTAGCAACCACCCCATCTCCTCAGTCTGCACACAGATAGCAGCGGCCATATCATCCTCTGCAGTGGTGGCCTCACCATGTAGTGCAGAGCCACACCTGCAGTTTGTTTTTGTCACTGCCAGGAGAGGAGTTCACATTGTTTTAAATGAACAATAGTTCCCTAGCAACTACACTTCTCTGTACAGAACCAGGTGTGATCTTCTCTGGCTACAAAAGAACTGCAGGTATTTAAACGCAAGAATATTCTTCACACAGGTCATTCATCTCTTGTTTCTTTCCCATTCCTTGAGTCATATGTGACTCAGTGAACCGGGGATTGGAAGAGGAGCAAGAGCCTCTCTCATCATATCTACTACATAATCATGTATTATGTTTTCACTGGCTTTTTTTTATACATCTCTTAAATATCTTTGTTTCTTCTGGGTGCTTCTCCCTTTTCATTCCCTCTCAACAGACACTGCCAGAAATCTGCTCTGAGCAGGATGAGATGGATTTTCTAATGGAAGCACTGATAATCAGGTATGTTTCATCTTTTAGTCTGGGGAGGGGGTCACTTTAATCCATGGGTCCTATCAGAAGATTAACTCACTGACTCAGGAGATTAATAACAGGGTGGAGAGACTTTCTCATCTAGCCCTACTCTTAACTACAAATTATTACTTCTGATGGCTATTTGGTGGTTTATTAGTTAGTTTTTAATGGGCATGTGTCCACCTTGTACATGATACCCTAACTGCTTTTCTCAGCAAAGCATAAAGTAACTTCTCCAGTGGTGTTTTTTTTGTTTTGTTTTGTTTTGTTTTTGTGTATTGGGAAATAAGCACTACATTCTTTTAATAGTGTTGCATGTTTAGTGTACCATTCATCTCAGAAATCCCAGGGCCCTTAGCCTTGGAGGCCCTTGTGTTAGGAAGCTGCCATTGATTAAATGAACAACTGTGTAATGAGTGAGCTACAAGATTTGGCCCTATAGTCATGCAATATTGCTGCTTCTCAGCACAGTCAGGCAGCATACATCATGCTGTCTGCCAGGGAGGGATTTTTCAACCTAGGACATTAGGGCAAACTCCACTCTTATTAAAAACACTGTGGGGTATGTAGGAGCAGCCTGGACCTGGCTCGTGCATGGATAGCTGCCCAAGGAGACAGTGCAAGAAGCTTCCCTTTGTGCCCTTGAAACAATAGTCAACCACAGCTGTTGCTCCTGTGCTCCCCTAAGCACAGGGACTTCTTTCTCCTAATGCCTTCTGCAGCACTAGTCACCCCAGGGCCTGCGTCTCTGCCCGTCGTCTGTAACAGGCAGCAGAGGAAGGCACTCTGAGCCCTTTTAAGGGGAGAAGTAGTGAACAGGGAACCGCTGTGTGCTGGGGAGCTCCAGGAGGCTTAGTGCCGCTCCTCACCTCGCTCAGCGAGGGTCAGTGATACTCAGGCACAATCTGTCTTTTGAGGTTTGTGCACACAGACTAGACAATACTTTATAAGGCCTGATCTGAAAGACCTTCCCACAGTGTGGTGTATAATTTATCTGCCTAGGAAAGCTAGAAGCCTGAGTCATCCCCATAATTCCAGGCACTCTCGGTATTTCAAACCTGGGGTTTATGCCATTAAATTAATCTCACAAAGTTTGAAAAGAGGGAAATAACCTGGAAGAACTCCCTTCATCTCTTTCATAGCACACAGCTGCTCTGCTGGGGAGGTGGCTCTCACTTATCATGGAATTGCACAGATCTCACCTGGCAAAACAATCCGCACAAAGAGCCGCACCTACTCTATTTTCTGTAAAACCTTACAAGCCTTTAAAGTGCCTGAAAGCCATCTTGGAATGTACTGCTGGGGGTTATTTATTTGTATTGCTCTTTGCCCCTTCTTCACTGTTTGGAACAAAACCCTCCCTGTCAGTGTTTGCATGTGGATGACTTTATCTCCCAGCTAGGACACACTGCCGAGCCTAAAATTACTGCCCTCAGCCCATCTCCCGCAGACTATTGGAGCTCTGAGTGGCAATGTATGAAGCAATCATGCTGATAAGTGATTTTTAAAAGCAACTCACTGGCTCATTTCATAACGTGTTGATTTATTTAGTAATGTCTTCCTTCTCCATCCTGCCACCCTTGCCCAAGTCCTCAGTTCATCTCTAACCCAGGTTAGTAGTGATCAGAGGTTACTACCTTCTGGTGACAGTTTGGCAGCCTACGTTCAGTTGCTACAACTGGCACTAGCTCACTGTTTCTGGCAGACTGGAAACTGAACTGAGACCCCCCTCCGCCCCGCAAACTACACAGTAAATTGTTTAACAAACATTGAAAGAAACCCAAATCCCCCCGAAAGAATTTCATTTCTGTACTATTTTGGACTTAAAAGCTGTAAGCTATCACGTTTCCCTTCTCCCATGACCTCTGTCACATTTAAATCCATTAATCTTCTCTGCAAAAGAGAATAT